ACTAGAGACTTTAACCCCTGTGCCACCGGGGAGGCACTTCACTGTTAGTTTAAAAAAAAAATCACAAACAACCTAGTTATCCCTTCAGTATTGCAATCTATCTGCTACAGAGTCAGCCTTTTACTAAATACAATATCCAACTCTCTGAAGTCTTTGCCTACAGGTTATTCCCCTGGGTTTCGGACATCTTTATGACTAAAAATAGTTCTCCATTGGTCCCTCCAAGATGAAGCAAAAGCTTGTACCCCAAGCAAAAAGTAATCACCATTCTTGGTGCAATCAAAATTGAGAAAGCTGAAGACCAAACTCAGATCACTCTTATGAGCACAAAACCTACATATTCTTTGCATACATTTTAAGTCATTGAGAACTTTCTCAAGCACTCACCTCATTTCATCTTTAGGCAATTCCTTTATTAACTGTCTTTTATAGCTTAATATTGTATATGTGTGACTTTGTAAAGAATTCACTTTGTTAAATTAGGATTCAGCACTAAACCTTCCAAGGTTTCAACAGATCAGATCTGAATCAAATCAGTCTCTAGTTTTGAAGGGGTTAAACCACTCCCTCTGACTCTGTGGCTTGAGTTTCATCTTTACCTTGGATTTCTGTTTTTCAGATTCATTATATCCACATCACCTGTTCATGCCTCACCCGAGGCTTTATGGTTCCCTTTAAAAATATCAGTGTGGACAAAAATGTTTTCCCTTGACATAACTGAGACAGGCTGGTATTTTCAAGAACAGCTTTACTAAACATGAGGGAAAACAGAAAAGAAATAATTACAGAAAACATACACAGTATAAAAATAGAAAAGTTTCCAACTGAAGGTTTCTGTTCTAAAAATTTCTTCAGAAGTAGGAGAGCTTTGCTGGGCCTCAACAGCCTTTACCCTCGTCAGCATATCCCTCAATTTTGCTACATCCTGTCTGGACACCTTCTCTCCCACCTCCAGCACCTCATCTATCTCTGAGTCCTGTAATCTTGAGTTGCTATTTTGATCCTCTTAACCCACATTTCAATGAAAAAATAACCAATAACTTACTTTTAAAACTATCATTCTCCTAATAAAAATATCCTGAACTCTCAAAGACCTGCAAAATGCCTATTTGCAAGGTATTTTCAAGTTTTTCAAGTGAATGTTTAAGCTCTTCTGGGTCTTAAACTTTAGCTCTTCCCAAAACTAATGTTAAATGAGAATAAACCAAAAATATATTCTAGAAAGTGATTCCTGGGATAATGAATATTATTTACAATGGCAGATAAGTCTCTGTGGTTAAATCAGTTTAAGAAATGTTAGGTTAAATTAAGTTTCACAATTTTCTTCACTACGTAATTTCTCACATCAGTCAAAAAATATTTTTGAGCCCCTGTTATGTACCAGGTGCTGCTCTGATACTGAGAAGTCCCTTGTAAAGAGTAGACAGGATGGTCAAGATCCCTGCACTGCTCTTACAGAATTCACTTTCTAGGTGGGGAATCACCCAATAAGTAAACAAGCAAGCAAGATATAAAATAATGGTAAAGACCTTAAGGGGTGACATGTTAGGGAGGAACAGAACATGGGGAAATCTATCAGAGTAAACAGGGAGTTCAAAGACCTAGCAGGAGAAAACTTGGCAAATTGCAGGAAGAGGAAAGAACTGGAGCCGAGTAACTTAGCAGGGAAAAGCATCTGAGGAGGTCTAGGCTTAGAGGGCATGGGAAAGAGTAAGATTTTTTGCTGGTGCAAAGGAAAGTGATTTGAAAATTTTTAAGTGTTGGCATGATTTTAATCTACAATTTGAAAAGTAATATCTTTGGCTGTAGAGAATGGAGTGAGAGGTTAAGATTACATGTGGAAAACCAGGTAGCATGCTCTTACTAGTTCAGCTATAGACAGGTCAAGGCACCAGCTAGCTCTTGGCCTCTTCTCTTAAGGGTACTAATTCATTCATCATGACTCCACCTTCATGGCCTAGTTACCTTGCACAGAGCCCACCTCCTCCTGCCAACACATTGGGGGTTAGGATTTCAACTTAGGAAGTTTACAGTGACACAAACATTCAGTCCATAGCAAGTGTATCCACTTAGACTGTGGTATGTAGATATGGAGAAATTTTTAATAATTATTTTAGTGCATTAGCTGTAAAAAGTGAGAGACCTTAGAGATAGCATGAAAGACTAAACAGCCTCTGGACCTGCCTGTGGAGTGGGGACAGGGAAGGGGACGGGGCTTCAGCATATACTTGGGGTTTTTTGTTTGTGTTTTTCACATAAACAATAGCTGAGTTCCTTAATTATTTTTACATTGTTGTAGTTCCCACAGTTCCCTGCCACCACATCACCTGTAGCCATGACCGTGCTCCCCTGTGTTGTTCCGTCCCCTGTGTTGACTCCCTCCTTCCCCCTGCCAGGCTGTATGCCTCTGGTCTGTGGTTCACTTGCTGGTTTTGACTTTTTTCTTGACCTTTTGTTTCGTTTCTTTATGCAAGTCCAATGAAAATCTCAATGGCATTCTTCAAAGAAATGCAACTAATATTGAAATAAACGTGGAACCACAGCATGTATTTGAGTAGAGACAACAGGGTTTCCTGATGGGCTAATGTGGAAAATAAGGAACAGAAAGAAGACAGTGGTGACCTCTCACAGGTCTCACAGACCTCACAGACCTCACAGATCTCACGGGTCTCACAGATCTCACGGGTCTCACAGATCTCATGGGTCTCACAGGTCTCACAGATCTCACAGATCTCATGGGTCTCACAGATCTTACGGGTCTCACAGATTTTAATGCTAGGGTTCCAAGGGAAACATTTTGGGAAATACTGTTTATACCCCCGAAGTGCTCCATCATGGCATGATATATTTGCATCTCAGGTCACATAAGCAAGCCTCCCCCCTCTAAGCAGAGAGGTGTTTCAGTAAAAGCCATTGGTTGCTAAACAATATACTGCCCTGATGAATCAAATCAAATCTGTCTGCAGGAAGTCACATGTGCCAAGTGCAGTAAGAAGGAAAGAAGGGCTACTCTACCACCCTCACTGAGCCAAACCTCACATGCTGGCAGTTTTAGCATTTTTGCATTAATAATAGCTATTTTGGCAGAGGAGTGAGATTAAAAGTCTGAAGGGAAGCCCAGACTGTGAAGTATGTAACTCTTTTTTAGGAAACTAGCATTTGGGTGTTTCTACCTATATCTAATATATCAAAGTATTATTTGATGCTTTGGAAAAAGTTAATGTAAATAAAGGTATTTTTTTCTCTATTTTCTAGTTAGTTTGCATTTGTTTTGTTATAGGGAACAGAAGTTCACTCAGAGAGGACAGGCTTCTCTCTAGGATACATTTTTCACTCTCTCTCTTTCTACTCCCCCACCCCTGCCTCTCTGTCTCTGCCACTCTCTCAGCCATGTGAGGATAAAAGAGAAAAGAGCCATTCACAAACTAGAAAGAGGGCTCTCGCTAGACACCAGATCTGCTGGGGTCTTGATCTTATACTTCTTAGCCTCCAAAACAGTAAGAAGTAAATGTTAATGAAACTACATGGTTCATAACATTCTGCTATAACAGCCCAACCTGATTAAGACACACAGTTACATCTTAGAGGCTTCCTTTTTTTAATGAGGAGACAACAGCAACAGATGTTGGCAAGGACGTGGTGAAAAGGAACTCTCCTGCATTGCTGGTGGGAGTGCAAAGTGATCCAACCATTATGGAAGGCTATCTGGAGGCTCCTCAGTCTACTAAAAATGGAGCTACCATATGACCCGGCAATTCTACTCCTAGGGATCTACCCAAAGGACACAAAAACATTGATTCAAAAGAGCACCTGTACCCCTATGTTTATTGCAGCACTAGTTACAATAGGTAAAACCTGGAAACAACCCAAATGCCCAAAAATAGATGACTGGATCAAGAAGATGTGGCACATATACACAATGGAATACTATTCAGCAATCAAAAAAGATAAACTCATGCCATTCGCAGCAAAGTGGATGGAGCTAGAAGGAATTATGCTCAGTGAAATAAGCAAGGAGGAAAAAGAAAAATATCGGATGTTTTCACTTATAGCAGGAATATAGGGGGACCAAATAAGACATCAGTGTAAAAAAATAATAACAGTACAAATCACAACAAAGCAAAAACGAACAACTATAAACCAGAGACATCCTGCAGGGGAGGAGGAGGGAGAGGGATTGGAGGGAGGGAGGGAGGAGCACAGGGGACTGAGGTGATGGTGCAAGGGTGCCTTGGGGAAGGAAACTCTATGGGGACTGCACCTGAGTGGGTGGGGGGAAGCAAATATTGTTTAAAAATTAACAATGATGTAAAAAATGAAAAATTAATATATATTAAAAAAATGAGGAGACAAGTCCAGAGAGGAGAAACATGACCCAGTGGTAGGAGCTCCAGGTTTGATAAACCTGAATTCTGCTCTCACGTGACTATAGGCAGGTGACTTTATTTGGGCCATCAGTTCTCTTCTGGAAAGGGAGAATACTGGGTAGAGATAAATGATTTTCAAGAGGCATTTCTTTCAGCATTTATAATCCACTTTTATGGCCTGTGGTCAAGTGAAACCACGTCTATCACCAGGTCTGGTGCTTCATTTTGCTTCATTACACCACACCATACTTCCACTAAAACATTTTTTTTATTTTTTCATTTCAACCCATTTATCTCATCTATTAAAATTGCTATGGAAATACTGCAAGAAGGCAATATAGTGCAGTGACAAACATATAAAGTTTAAAACCAAGAAGAGCTTGGTTTGGATCTGGATGTACTCAGCTCTGTGAGCTTGGAGCAGTTACTTAATCTCCTTTCCAGTCTCAGTTTCATCATCTTTAAAACAGGGTATATATCCCCACCTGGTGGGGTTGCTTATCAGATTAAGATTGTGTCAATAAAACATCATGACTATAGAAGGTACAAAAATTCTACCTTCATCCATTTCAGCTTTTATAACAGAATATTTATAACCAGGTGACTAAAATAACAGAAATTTATTTCTCACAGATCTGGAGGCTGAGAAGTCCAAGATCAAGGGACCAGCAGTCCTGTGTTTGGTGAGGAATCACTTCCTTGTTTACAGATGGCAGAAAAGGGACTTCCTAGCTCTTCACCTGGTCTTAGAAGAACTAATCCCATTTGTGAAGACTCCACCTTCATTATTTGATTACAGCTCAAAGACCTCACCTCCTAATATAGATTGACGGTTAAGATTTCAACATATGCATTTGTGGAAAACACAAACATTCAGTCTGTAACACATTCTATTTCACATTTCACATCTCCCTCTCCCTTTATTATCTGGGAAGATAAACTATTACAGCAAAGAGCTCATGAATTGAATCAGGTTGAGAATGAGACTTGTGGTGGCTTATTTTTACAGAAAATTTTAGTTCAATTCCTCTTTTGAAGACCTTTTCAAAATATTAGTCATATTCCTCTTTTGGAAGTACACACTCTGACTATAATTGAATCTTTCTTGATGATTGAAGACCTTGCCATGCCTTAGGCTTATTATTCAGAACATGAATTCAAATTCATTCAATTGCATAGATAAATATGCAGAAGGTACAAAACGCAGTTGGGACATGCTGAATTCAGGAAATCTAGAAGTTTGTGGTTTTGAGTTGAAATCCTTGTTAACAATTTCTGTGTGGTTCAGACTTCTAAATAGTGCAAACATTACCTGACTAGATGAGGCTTTTAGATCTTGTATTCTAATTAAATATGTGATCAACATATTTTTGTAAAGCCTACTTTGTCAAAGGATCGGAGCAGCTATCATTTTGAACATAGGAAATACAAAGGCTAGTTTGAATCCTTAAGAAACACATACTGTCAATGGGGAGGCACAACACAAACTCATAAAAAGTAACTATAACAAGCCTCAAATCAGTTCTTGAAATAATACTCAAGCCTTTGCAGGATTTGGGCCAGCAGTGCTTTTGGTTAGAAGAATATTTGATAGGGAAAGTTCTTTTAGATAGAGTGAATAGTTGGAAGAAATGCATGGGGATGGGAAAGTCTGGGGTATATCCAAAGGACCATAAGCTATTCATTTCAGAGATAATTAAGGCTAAAGCAGACATTTAGTTGAGACATTCCTAGCTTTTATTATACAAACTGAATGTGCAGATGTCATGAAAAGTGGTTCTTGGGCCCCTAGAGTTACAGGAAATGATGTGTATTATACATTCTTTTGTAAATTTGTCTCTGTGGGCCAATAATATGTAGGTCACAAGTGAATTCATAGGGCTTCCAGTTTGCATCTTGTTAAAGGCCTAGGCCCAACTTAGAGACCAGAGAGGTCTAGAATACCCAACAACCCTACCATGATCCATTCCTGGTAGAAAACAACCTTTAGTCGTGAGATAGGCCCTGGGTTTGGATCCCCACTGACCCTCCTTTAATTCAAGCCAGGAGTGTGGAGGAGGGTGAGAAACAGGTTTCTCTAATCTCCCCACTTGCCTCACCTGTCCTTCATTTGCTAGCCCAGCTCTTGCCCATTCCCATCCTACACTTGCTCCTTAAAAACAAGGTCATGTTCCTCAGAGAGGAAATGGATTTACACATTTCTCTATGAAAGCAGAAAATGAGGGAAGGAAAAATCTGTGCAGGATCCTAGCATTATGGGACGACTTAAGTCTGCTTTGAAGAAAGCACTCCCCAAAAGAGCTTTTAAAAAAAATGATATAACTGTATATTCCACGTGGAAATATCTGGGCAGTGAGTCCCTTATTAAAAATTGCTGAATGGAAAATCTCTGCAACAGTTTCAAGCCCTGATTGATTCTGATAAGGAGAAAAAGGTTGATGAGATTCTCAAACTCAGCATTCCACTTGTAAAGCAAATCTAGACTAAGATGCATTTCAAAGAATGTTTGGCAATTTTTCTTTTCAAGAAGGCAAACAGTTTATCCTGGAGATGGGATGAGGAAGGCACTTAGATTACTCCCGAAGACCTTCTAGTCTCCTCTTTTTTGGGTTTTTGTCCATGTCTGGCCTCTGCGTCCCCTCCCTTCACCTCCAGTAGCATGCACAACTGCCCACAATACAGTGCAAACCTCCTTTCCCAGCATGGAAAAGGGCCAGGGTGGTAAAATTGAAAGGGGCCCTAGAGGCATTGAATTCACCCTACTGGCTTTTGAGATAAAGAAAATAAGGCCCAGAAAGATAAAGCAGCCTGGCTGAATGTTGTAGGGATGGTGTAGCGGCATGACAGCCACCGAGCAGGGTTTCTATGATCCAGCAGCCCGGGTAAAGGAGGAGAGAGTCTTGGAGCCCTGGGTGGGTTTTCGGGCTTTTATTGGGATTCACCAGGCACACGGCAGGCAGGGGTGCCTGGGGGCTGGGAGGCCTGCCTGCAAGTCTTCACTTTTTCTGGCCTTCTCTGGTGGCCTCTGCTGCTCTGCTCTCGGTTCTGCTTCCGCTTTTCTGCTTCTGCTGGCGTCCCTGTGACGCCACCCTTAAAAGCCCAGTCTCAGCCCAGGTGAATCCCATCTACCTATGCCCACACCCTACTCCAGGTGCCGCCATCAGGCATGCATTCAGGACCGCAAGGATCCATCATCTATCCTGATGGTGGGAGGGCAGAAAAGCCTGATACTTTTTGCCTTACCCTGCCTGTGGCTATGTAGAAACTGCAGAAAGGCTAGCTCTTCTGCAGAGGCATCTGGATTTTAAACTGCACAAAATTGAGGCTCTGTCCTGTTAAAAGTAGATAAATTAAAGTTTACTCGAGATGATGGCAGCATTGGTTACTCGGAAATAGTGGTGGGGAGGGGATGAACTATGGTCTCTTCTTCCCTGGCATTGCTATTCTTTATGATTGGCACTGTAGGGTGAGGTGAAAAAGCATCAGGCTTTTCTACCCTCTCGCCATTAGGATGGTGACGGATCCCTGTGGTCCTGAATGCATGCCTGATGGCGGGCACCTGGCGTGGGGTGTGGGCATGATACATAGGTGGGTACACCTGGGCTGAGAGACTGGGCTTCTAGGGGCGGCGTCACGGGGACACCAGTGGAACAGAACTACCCGGAGGGAGACACAAGAAGAGAAGCAAAGGCCACGAGAGAATGCCAGAGAGCCCAGAAAGACTGAAGACTTGCTGGGGTCTAGAGGCCTGCCTGCCTCCCAGCCCCCTGCCTGCCATCTACCTGGTCAATCCCAATAAAATCCTGCAAAAGCCATCGAGGGCTCCAGGACTCTCTTCCTTTACCCCGTCTGCTAGAATCATAGAAAACCTGCCCTGTGCCCTTCCTGCCCCTCACAAGAACTCACCTCCATGACCCTATCTTCCCTGAGTGATACTAGCATGCCGTACCCTTTATTCTTGGGAGGAAATGTGACCAACAACTAGATCACACCTTCATGGGCAGTGAAAAATCATTTGAAACTCCTTACATCTAAGGGTCAGCAGACCACTACTTGTAGGCTAAATTCATCTGGCCACCTGTTCTTGTAGGCTTAACAGAAAATCATTCACAAGCCCTGTCTTCAAGCACTGGTCACGCTGTATGAGTGATTTCTATTCCTGTCCATCTTCCAAGACTTTTGACCTTATGAAAGATTCCACTTTTCTTAGATGACACAGGTAACTCTGTAAGTATTTGTAAGATGAAAGGGGTTATTGGTGGTGTGGGCTTGGGCAAGTCAGTTCCTCTCTGGGTGCCTCAGTTTCTAATGAGAGTTATCTAAGGTAACAAACATTCTCTATATTAAGGTGAGTGTAGCCAGAAATAAATGTCATGTTCAATTCATTGACTCTTCTTGTCTCCAACTTTGAGTTCTCCCTTAGTGACCTTCTAACTACTAGTTGGCTCCCCAGGTTGTCAGTATCATGCAGGGGATGCCCTCACTAGATAACCCTACTGGGGGATATTTTAGTGTGTATGGTGCATGTATTGCATGTAGTATGAAAACATATTAAAAATCAACTTTCTTCATGTTTGCCTGGCTTGTGCAGATCTAGTGACATGTACTTTTTCCCAGGTCAGGTCACTATAAAGAATCTGAATGGGGGGCCTCCCTGGTGGCGCAATGGTTGAGCGCTGGGTTGTGAAGCTGCCTGCAGCCTCTGCAGCGCCGATTCGATCCCCGGCCGCCAGGAGAGGGTCCCACATGGCGCACAGACCTCTCCTGCTGCCCGCTGCTCCCCTCAGCAGTGTACTTTGTAAGTCTGTCTGTTCTGTTCCCAGCTCTGGCTCTGGTGAATTCTCTCACCCTCCCATGCTTCTGACTGTACCCAGTGCTTGTATAAATAAATAAACCTTTAAAAAAAAAAAGAATCTGAATGTTGCCATAAACATAGGGATGCAGGTGTCCTTTTGAATTAATGTTTTTGTGTCCTTTGGGAAGATTCCCAGGACTACACCTGAGAAGAGAAAGCAAACATCATACAAAAATGAACAATGCTATAAAATATATATAAATACATATATATTTTTAAAAATCTGAATGTGTAGTTTCTAGGGAACACAGTCTGGGCTTATGGCCACTCCTTCATCATCAAGGTGCACTTTCATGATAAGCCCAGCAAACAGCTCCCTGCCCTTACTTAGAAAACTTACTATGTGAGAAATCATGGCATTTTCAAACCAAATGGATATAAAAGCCCTCCTCCAGACCTCATAGCACCATACCCTCAGGAGGTGTCTGGTGAGTGTGGCATAATGTTACAAGGTTAGGGACTGATGTGTTAACAGTGTTTTTAAACCATCTTCATGCACTGTTTCCTTGCAGATGGGTCATCGTCTCTTCCCACTGCCATCATTATAAAGTGGACGGAAACTCTGAATTGAGATACATGTGACACAGGGAAATGTGCTCGCCTGTCAATGTTTCCCCATGAAAGCTTCCTGCCAAGGAAGACAAGACCAGTCCTCATGCAATGGCTGAAATTTGTTTTCTGGATTCTTCTGTTCACTTTTTACTCCCTTCCCCAAGTTTCTAACATGGTCCCCAGATTATTCTGGGCCTCTGCTATGACACACCAGAGGGGGAAACACTTTGGACTTTCAGTTCATTATCTCCTTTCCCTTTCTATTTTAAATGAATAATGCGCTATGGTGGGAAAGGATAAAGCTCTTAGAATCAAGTTAGCCTGAGACCAAATTCCTCCATTCATTGGTGGAGACTCAGTTTCTATGACCTGCTAAGTGGAGATAATACTTATCACCTAACTCTACTAAACAACTCAGCGTCCCTTCCAAGCTGGAATCATGCATTAATTCTTTTTATCTCACACTGCTCATATAATATAGTACATATAATATAGCATATAATTATTATTATATTACCATATAATTATTATTATATTACCATATTATTATATGTATTATAGTACATATATTATAGTACATATAATATAGCAGATGTTTGACACATGTCAAACATGACTTTGCATGTAATCTTGCAAGGATAATGAAATAGGAAATGTTTAAGCTAAAAGGAATGCAAAGACCTACCCAGTTGAATGTCAGAAAGACTTCCTGCTTCCCACTTCTGCACTACATGGTCAGCTGTGTATCTTCTTGACTAAGCTTCACAATCTCCAACAAAGCTCCCTGGGAA